CAGGTGATGTCACCTTTCCTGCTCGATGGGTTCCGGTGCCCGGGAGGTGTAGTAGTCAAAAAATTGACTCGCTTCAACTTGTTAAAGGCATTCCGCTGGTTCTCATCGAATACTATCGATAACTTTTGTGAAGACCTGTAATTGTGAAGCTAGGTAATAACAGGAGCTCCGTTTCCACTTGACAAGAGTCTACAGGTCGTCAAGGTGTGGAGTTTAATTGAACAAGTACTAATCAAAGTGCAGAACGCCCCTTCCAAGCCGAACAGCGCCAGAAAAATGCTTCCATCCCCCATAGAGCTTCCTCTTCTGTAAGCCTAAAAATTAAAACATCATTTCAGTGCCACCAATGCAAGCGCAAATGGACTAGTCAAAACTCGGTGGCAAACGAGGCGCAGTCGTGTATCAAGTGTCATATTCCAGTATTCCCGCATAAACAGGTATGCTGTAGGTACCAGTTATCTTTTAGAAGCTCATGATCACCGAAACCTTTACAGTTGCCCGTGGAGAAAGCGGTGGCGATGGGATTGATCAAAGCCCAGCATGCAATCCCCTCAAAAATCGCTCCAATCGGTCACGGACGCCCACCAGCAAAATGCTAAAACTCGTCCACCGCGATACCGTATCCAGAAGACTTCTCTGAAATTTCTTCTCCGACAGCGATAATTTTTTTGTTGGTCAGAGGGGGTTTGATGCATCAGGTACATTGCCCCCTCGAAAAATACTCTACTCTTCCAGTGATAATCGAGTTTAATCGGCGTTTTGTATCGTATCCATGTTCATGGCAATGTTCCCTATCTGTATAATTGTGTCCTTTTTTCTCTGGCAGATTTTTTGTACGCAAAGTGAGCGATCAGTGTTTTTTTTTATTGTCTACTGTGTATTTACTAGACGTCTAGTCTCATAGAGTACCTTACGTCCTACGAGTTTGTGTTTGCTTTGGAAGCTCCTTGTTGTTTTGGCATCGTCATTTATCATCGATTAGAGGTGTTACTGTAGACGTATTTGTGTCGTTTAGTGCCGTTGACGCTAGAAACGCAACATGCGCGCGTGCGTATGCGTGCGTGCGCCTACGTGTAATCGATATGTAGTGTTGTGAACATGCCAGCGCTGCTACTTCTCTCTCCTCCAAGAAGCCGTGCGGAGCCAAACTCACCCTCCCCAAGCAGCGGATATACTTGACGAATGGCGATGGGAAAGTGCTCAGGATGTGTCTTGCTCCAATTCTCCTCCCCATCACTGAGCATTCACCGATCATGACCGTAATCCAAGCGTCTACTTCCACACCCATACGTCCTTCCAATGTATAATGGTCCATATCCTGGACGTGGAGGGGCGTGGCTGCGAACATCTTTTTAAAAGGGCCTAACTGCTTTCTAGTAGAATAATGTTATTTTGTAACAACAGTAATCGTACCTTGTTCAACA